GAAGTAACTGTAAATTACCTTGAGTGCGCCAGATATTCGCGGACTGTTCACACTCTGTACCTCGTAGACTGCCCCATTGGCGCCAACTCCGATAACTTTTTTCACTTTCCATCGTGCGCCAATCACCTGTGTGCAGAGGATATCTTCATACATGAAGCTGTTTAATAATGAACAAGAATTAGTCATTTTCCCCAATTTTTCTTAAAATCTCTTTTGAATTTTCTACATTTCTTCTATTGAACAGATTTCGAAATACTGAAAATACCAATTCTGCTAGTCTAATTTTGGGAACCCGCTTGAGCTTAAGTCCGATAAACAAAATCAAAACACCCAGTGACCAGCAGTTTTATCTCTAGGTTTTTGGATATGCATGCGAACGCAAACTTCATCCCCAAAGTTCCCTGCAGATTTTTGTTGCTAACGGCACTGTTTTTTCGGCAGATGCTTCTGGCTAAAAGAATTGAGATTGGCCACTACGACTGTGGGAAAACGTTCTCCTAAAATTCCGGCTTTCTAGTTTTTCTGGCTCCTGAGTTAGCAATTTACCTGCCAGAAACTTTGACGGCCCCATACATGGGAAATACGTAGGTAAGAGCGTCCGTTTTGTAGACCGGGGTCCGTATATGCAAGTAGATTATATTCCCAAAGTTCCAGCCTTGTAGCTTTTGCAGGTTTCGAAATGAAAAATTAGTACAGACTTTACTGGTACAGACTCGCCCCGACTTAATGCGACTTGTAATTTGATGCAGCGTAAAAAGCATTAAAAAACGTTGTAGGAGCCTCTTGTAACCGGAATTTCGTTGTTTTTCACCATAAAATTATGATGCAATGTGTCATCATGCAGTAATTGCTTTAGTCTAAGGAAAAAACAATGAGTATTGTTCGGAAAATCACTTTTCCCTCAGCAAACTCTACAATTTGTTGTTCAGGCTTTCCCTGGCTTGCACTCATCCTACACCGAGGAGTAATGCTTGCACCATCCAACTTAACAATGATAATAAACTGACCGCAACTGGATAATTTGTTCTTTTTATAGTTTCCGCTCGGTTTTTATTTGTTTTTGCATATATGCAAAAATACATATTGTGACGACTCCTGTATGTGTGTGTGTTTTTATGTGTATACGTGTGTGTGCATTTGTCTGGGCATTTATACTCGACAACCAAGCAAA